TTAGTCTGTCGGGTGTTGGTTTTCTTCTATTACTATTGCGGCAACTTACCAGACCCTAAACCCAAAACCCTAAACCCAAAACCCTAAACCCAAAACCCAAAACCCTAAACCCAAAACCCTAAACCCTAAACCGACTTAAGGCTGCTACCCTCCGGGCCGAGAGTGCCGAACTGCGGGTCTCCCTCTCCGAGGAAACGGGGGAGTTGAGGATTTAGCCTCTGGGGTTTTTTGGGGGTTAGGGCTTTAGGGTTTAGGGTTTTAGGGTTTTAGGGTTTTAGGGGTTTTAGGGCTTTAGGGTTTAGGGTTTTAGGGTTTTAGGGTTTTAGGGCTTTAGTGTGTGGGTTTTAGGGGTTGAGGGCTTTGGGGTTTAGGGTTCTAGTGTTTTAGGTTTTTCGGGATTTGGGTGTAGGGCTTTAGGTTTAGGGTTCTAGGGTTTTAGGGTTTGAGAGTTTGGGGTGTAGGGCTTTGGGTTTAGGGTTCTAGGGTTTGGGGTGATAGGGTTTTCGGGTTTGGGGTTTAGGGTTTTAGGGTTCAGAGGGTTTTTCGAATTAAGGGTTATGGGTTGTTGCAAGGGGTCCTCTGAGAGCTACTCGAAGGCTTACTATTTCTTCGGGTTGTTTCGGCTGTTCGGATTCAGGGTTTTAGGGTTTCAAGAGCTTCGTTTTGGTTGAGAGTTTAGGGTTCTAGGTTTTTTTTGGCCCTGGAGCTTTTCTGTTCTGGGTTTTGGGCTTGCAGCTGCTGCTACCGGAAGTGTCAGTGTCGCTGTTGCGTGGAGCAGTGGTCGAGTGGTAGCCAAAGCAATGGCAGCTGCACATGCACCTAGTACAGCCGCAGTAGTTCCCAGAGAGCCCAATACCCCTTAATTAAGGAATACACCCTAAACCACAACACTTAAAGGCCAACCCCTGCGACATTTCGATGCTCAAGCTGTCATGCCATGGCGCAGCCAGTAGCAACAGATGGGTGGCAGCTGGTGGCGGGCGACGACGACGTGCCGGAGCGCAACCGGCGGCTACGGGAGAGGCATTTGGTCTGGCAGCAGATGGTAGCCGCGAGAAGCACCCGCAGCTTTCAAGATGCGGAGTTCCCTGCGGGCCCCCGGGCAGTCGATGGCCGGCGCGAAGACCGCGTTGGCACCGACGTCTTCCGGGCGACGTTGTCGGAGGTGAGCCACAGGGCCGGGGTGCCAGAGGAGGGGGTGCTGTGCCGGTGCGGGCAGCCAGCGCAACTGCGCCGGGTGCAGCGGAAAGGTCCCACGTTCGGGAGGCCCTACTATGCCTGCCCTCTCCGTTCCTGCCGCTTCTTTGAGTTTGCGGACCAGGCGTCGACTGTGGCCGCCTTGGAGTTGCAGTGGAAGCGTTTCCCTGCAGTTGGCGACTGGTGTGTGGTACATGACGAGGGCTTCCGACCCGCTGATGTCCAGCAAGGAGGCGTGGGCGACTGTTGGTTCATGAGCGCGCTCGCAGCTTCTTGGACCGGCACCACCAATTATTTCTTTGGAGCTCGTGTGTATGTATGTATGTATGTATGTATGTATGTATGTATGTATGCATGCATGCATGCATGCATGCATGCATGGATGCATGTACGTATGATGGTAGGTGGGTAGGAAGGTAGTTTATGCAGGTATGTACGTATAGTAGTGCATGTATGCATGTCTGCATGCATGTGTGATTTGTGTGATTCTACATTATACGCTTCCTGTATACAAGTGTACGTATACATACATATTATTTTATGTATACATGCATGCCTATGTGCATGTAGGTAAATGTGTATATGTGCATATACGCTGTATGTGTATATGTGCCTAGATGTGTGTATATGTATTTACATGCATATGTACATGTGTGAATATGTCCAAATGTGCATATGTGTATACTTGTGTATCTATGTATAGGTGCCACAGACACACCTACACACACACATATATATATATATATATGTAGTTGTCTTGGTATACGTATGTGTGTTTGCCTTTGTCTTCCCGCATGAGCATGTATATGTGTTGGTGGAGTAGATCGAATGATAATCACTCAACATATGCATGCATGCATACACACACGCATACCTACCTACCTGCCTACCTACCTGCATACCTACCTGCTTACCTACTTACCTACCTACCGACCGACCCGACGACCGACGACCGACCGACCGACCGACCGACCGACCGACCGACCGACCGACCGACCGACCGACCTACCTACCTACCTACCTACCTACCTACCTACCTTGCCTGCCTGCCTGCCTGCCTGC